GAATGGTAATGCTATATGCAGCAGGCAACGGTCCATGGGCTTTAGATGTGGGTGATTTTAACAATGACACTATACTGGATGTTGTCGTCGTCAACAGTTGGGATAGCAATGTTGGTATACTTCTAGGTGTTGGTGATGGTTCTTTTCCAAATCAGACTACGTATTTAACTGGTAATGGGCCACAAGCAGTAGTTGTTGGTGATTTTAACAATGATGGTAAACTAGATTTCGTTGTTGCTAATCGAGGTGACAATAGTGTTAGTGTATTTCTTGGATACGGTAATAGTTCATTTACAGATCAAACGTTGTATTCAGTTGGTTCTGCACCAAACGCTATAGTTGTTGGTAATTTCAGCAAAGATGCATATTTAGATATAGTTGTTGCTAATCAAGGTGACAACGATGTCAGTTTACTTCTTGGATTTGGTAATGGTAGTTTTGCAACTCAAACAACATATTCAACTGGTTTAGCACCGAATGCTGTAGCTGCTGGTGATTTTAACAATGACTCTCTCCTAGATGTTGTTGTTGGTAATCTAAATAATAACAGTGTTAGTATATTACTTCATTTTGTTGGAGGTGATCTGACAAGTGAAACGACATATGCATCTGGTGGTGGTTCAGATTTAAAATATGTTATCGCTGGTGATTTCAACAACGATACACACCAAGATCTCATTGTTGCTAACTATGGAACTAATAATATTGGTGTTCTTCTTGGAAATGGAACAGGTACTTTTGCAAATCAAATTAATTTTACAATGGGTCCAAATTCTCATCCGGTGTCGATCGCTGCTGGTGACTTTAATAAAGATGGTGAAGCAGATCTTGCAGTTGCTAATTATGGTACAAAGTATATTGGAATGCTTCTTGGAAATGGAAAAGGCTGGTTTACAAGTCAAGTAGTTTATGGTGATAGTATGGATTTTGCTCCGTTAGTTTTAGCTGCTGGTGACTTTAATAATGATGGGCAAGCAGAAATTGTAGTCGCTTATGATGATAGTGATAATATTGATATATTTAGTGTATTTGATACTGGAGTTTTCTCTTCTCAAAAAACTTATCCAACTGGCTTTTTTCCATGGTCTGCAGCTGTTGGTGATTTTAACAATGACAATCAACTGGATATCGTCGTTGTTAATAGTGCTGTTGAGTCGATCAGTATACTTCTCGGATACGGTAATGGTTCTTTTGCATATGCACCGACAAATCCAACTGGTAATACGCCATCAGCTGTAGTTGTTGGAGATTTTAACAATGATACTCAACTCGATATTGTCGTTGCTATGTCGGTTGACCCTATCATATGTGTATATCTTGGATATGGTAATGGGTCTTTTGCGTTTCCACTTATTTTTCTAACTGGCTCCGGTTCATCATCTATAGTTGTTGGCGATTTCAACAATGACAAACAGATGGATATCGTAGTTACTAATGCTAATGACAACACTGTAAGTGTGCTTCTTGGTTCTGGTGATGGACATTTTGCAAATCAAGTAACATATCCAACTGGTTCCTTCCCAGTTTTCATAGCTGCTGGTGATTTTAACAATGACACTCTACTAGATATCGTCGTCGCTAATAATAATGATGCAACTATAAGTGTACTTCTAGGGTATGGTAATGGATCTTTTGCAAATCAAGTAACATATCCAACTGGAATTTATCCATTTGCGGTAGCAGTTAGTGATTTTAACAATGACAATCGATTAGACATTGTCGTTCCGAATGCTGGTAACAACAGTGTTAGTTTACTCCTCGGACAGGGTGATGGTACGTTTGCAAATCAGATAACGTTTCTAGTTGGCAACTCACCAGAGGCACTGGCTGTTGGTGATGTGAATAACGACAATCAACCAGATATTGTCGTTGCTAATACAGGTGACAACACTGCTAGTGTACTTCTTGGACTAGGGAATGGTGATTTTACAGCGGCGACAGCATATTCAACTGGATTTTTACCATACTTTGTAGGCCTTGCTGATTTTAATAATGATAAACGATTGGATATGTTCGTTGTTAATTACCGAGACAATCGTGTGGGTATACTTTTAGGATATGCAAACCTTGCTTTTGTTAAACAAACGACACTCATAACTGGTGATGGTTCTCAACCAAAATCCTTTGCCATTGCTGATTTTAACAAAGATAATCAACTTGATATTGCTGTCACAAACTCTGGCACGAATAATATGGGCATATTTCTTAGTTATGGAAATGGTTCTTTTGCTCTTCAGAAAACATATGCAACTGGTTCTTCTCCACGATCCATAGCAAGTGGTGATTTCAATAATGACACAATACCAGATATTGTTGTCGCCAACAGCGGTAGTGATAGTGTTAGTGTACTTTTTGGATATTCGAATGGTTCTTTCTCAAATCAAACAACATTTACAACTGGCTTTGAATCTGAACCATATACAGTAGCTGTTGGTCATTTTAACAAAGACATCTTTTTAGATATCGTTGTCATTGATTATGGTCTGAGTAATGTGTATGTATTTCTGGGATATGGCAATGGCACATTTGTAGGTGAATCCGCTTTTACACTTGGTTTTGGATCATCACCAATATCTTTAGCTGTTGCTGATTTGAATAATGATAAACAATTGGATTTTGCTGTTGTGAACGAAGGCAGTGATAACTTAAAAATTCTTGTAGAAACTTGTTAATGTTACGAACTACATTTTTGTGAGAGTGCTTTGTATTGTATAATACTATTATTTCGTTTTTAATCTTTTTCTTATTTTCTTTTATTTCTTCATTTGTTTTATTTAATCTTTTGTGATATATAATCATTTATATATATATGGTGGTGGGTAATTTAATAAATTGAAATAAAAATAAATGTTTATATTCTTTTTGTATCAAATTCGTTTAGTCTATGTGAAATTAACAACATAACAGAGTGCTATCGATATTTCTCTTTAATCTTTTGTCTACACATTTGAAAACGAGAAAAGATTATATTAATAATATTACTAAATTATTTGACTAGTTTTATGTTAGCTGCCTACTCATGGCTTATTAATAGTTATAGTCCAGACGTCTTTCTTTCTTAATGCTCTTCAATTAACGAAACTAATTGAACATCAATATCATTACTATTTTTTCATTTTTTGTGCTGTCAGAAATCATGTTGCATCAAGAGTAATTCAGTAAATCTGTAAGCTTGTGGATGTGTATAAAAGATATTATCCATTGAATTATTATATCCTTCAACACTGTTATTCATACAAGGCAAATTTTAAAACATTAGCATCATGCATATTCCAAATACATGCAGTGGAAAGTAACAAACTAATAAATTATTATAGATACTAACAAGATTATCATTGAATTTGGTTACTAATCGATACTTGGTTAAAATTAGGAAGCAGTTGACCAAAACAGTATCAATATGTCAAGAGTGAAGAGAAAAATTTATTTCTACTCGACGAAATATTTGTTTACTATTTGAATAATCTAATTAGACAAGTCATCGTTGAATAATAAACTAAATAATTCTTAAATAACTAAAAATTCAATTTTAAATCTATGATTTTTGAAATAAAATGAAACAAAATTAGATAAATATATTGAAAAATCAATAAAATCGTTCTATTAATCGTATTATTTAATAAGATAATCAATGAAGATAAATAATTCTTTGTTATACTTTTTATTTAATATTCAAATAATGATGATAGTTGATGACATCTATTAAGCTCAGAAAGAATAAAGGCATAGATTCAGATAGATTTTCATTAGACATTCTATTCTTCCAATATGGAAAATATATTCAAGTTTTCTTGTATTCTTAATTAAGTGAACATTTAAAATATTTAAAATAAAAAAATGTAGGAATTAAAAATGAGCAGTAAAACAGTTTGAGAATGACATGATTAGAAATGATTATTTATTATTTTCACTCGTTAAAACTCTAACTATTGCTATATGTTATGACTACATTCATCATTGTTCATTCATTTACACACTTTATTTAGTTATTTTTAATTAAATTTCTACTTATAACTATTTGTCCTATATTGTTATCATTGTATGAAAATTCTTTCTTGCTTCGTATTAATTCCTATGTCTGTTTCCATAATAAATTTGATCTTCACTTTATTTTTTCTCAATGAGTCCATAAACACTCACCAAGATCGAACCAATTAAATGTTTTTATGTATCTCGTGTGATTAACTAAATTGATAAGTGCTTTATCCAGTCATACTATTTCGATCACTCTAAGTTGTTTTCTTTATCTAAATATATTCTTCAACCTTTATCGAAAAGTCTTAACTGAATTTTTATGTAGAGAGATATCCAAACGAAAAACAGGCATTTCACATCAAATTCTTATTACGATTTTCAGCAATAATTGTTTTTTTAAGAGATAAAATTCTGAAATTTGATTGACGATCATAACCGAAAGGCAGAGTATTTTAATTGTGTTCATATTTGTTTTTCTTTTAGAGACGTTAAATGTTTACTAGTTGTTCATTTATTCTTAATTTTAAAAAAAGGAAGACAATTCATTATAGCCCCTACAAATATCACAGTAAATCTACTACAATCTCCTGATAAATTAAGTTACGAACTTCCCATTCGTTTTTTTAGAATTGCAGTTCGAATACGTCTCGAGAAGAAGACCATTACTTCCACTCCTTTATTTTTATTTAAAAACAAATTTTATGAGTATGAAGAAGAGTGCGAAGAATTTTATCCAAATAAAATCTCAGATAAGAATTGTGAAACATCTTTTAATCAATGTTTAAGAGAAATATTAAAATATAATTTCAATTGATGAATATACTCAATTGAAACAAAATTCTTTATCTTCTTATCGATTTAACTTTGATATTGAAAGAGAAGATCTTTTTTTCGAAAAGAGAATAACAACAAAAGATAAAAACAAATTCTTACTCATCACATATGTTTATTTAAATTACAGGTAAGTCAATACGAATCTTTTGTTATTATTATATCTAACATTAAAAGATTTTTCTTGTAAAAAAATGTGTTGTTGTAAAACAATTCTTCTCGGTATTGTGTCGCTGATAACAATTAGTGTGTGTATAACACAAATCGGTTTTTCTGTGCATTATATTCATAATCCAGTTAAATGTGAACGTGCAGAATTTTTAACAATATTAAATTTGATTGGTGGTAGTAGTGGAATCTTATCAACTGTACTTATTCTATTATGTTGTCACCGATTTGGATTTGGATCAAAATGAGACAGTTTATCGTGATAAATAATATATTTGTTACGATTTAAATAATTAAATAAAAACTCAACATATTTGAAACTATTTAATTTTTCTCTACAATTTCTTTAAAAGATTGATGTCAAATAAATACGCTAACTATGCTTTTTATTATTATTTGCTGTGTGTCAGAGGGTTAGATCATATCTTTCTCTTGGAGAGATTGTTTCACTTGAGGGTAACATACGAATGTAGCTGTTTATAAATTTTTATTTCAACATACAACTAAATACACAAGTCATTGAGGTTCCTGATGTAAAAAAGATTGTTGAATATATTTTTGTTCTTTGTAAAAGAAAAATTATATAGCATTCTTGATTAGAATTTTATATTTTCAGTTTTTAAGAAAGGTTATAGTCAAAGTTTAATATAAATAATATATTTTTGTTGTAGATCTTGTTCGACGCTAATAACTTGAAAAGAAATTCCAGCTGGTAAAAGTACTTCTTCTTCACTAGGAAAATGTGAAATGCTTGCCACATCATAAGCACGTGGAGCACTCAGTTTAATATTAGTTATTTCGATAATAAACAATGTATTTCCTCGAAATTCAGCCATTTCTCTGTCTTTACTTGTTGATGTATAACTAGACCACGTATGCCAAGAACCTATTGCTTGTTTATAAGACTCGATAGTAGCGAATGGCAGTTGTACTCCTCGATAAACTGTTCCAATAAACTCAGTACATGAACGTGAATAATCACGCATTAGAAAACAAAGTGGCCCAAGTGTATTCAGTTTTGAATGATCATTATTACGTAAAGCAGTATTTAGTACATGATAAAGAAAACTCTCACGAGTATATAATTGAATACAAACTTTTGAAGCTTCACGACGTAGTTTTCCTTTGCATGCTTTTAGCTGTTCAGTTATCCACTTAGCTTCTGTTTCACTGTTGCTTTGATGTTTTCTAGCTTCTTCAATAATTCCACTTATACAAATATCAATACAAGATGAAAAATCAAGGATAGCTCTTTTACCATCTGGTAATTTCAACCATTCAGTAAGAAAAGGACACCATGCTGTTGCATTCCCATAGGATGATGCTGAAGAGAGAAGAGATGGAGAAAAGAATTGTTCTTCTCGTAAACATTGCTGTTGTTTACAACCTAGTTGACGTTTTACAGGACGTTGTTTGGAGAGATTAAGTCGATTGAATTGAATGAACTGTTTGAGATTAATAATATATTTATCAAGAAGAACTTCTGATTTTCCTTGTTGATAAGCTTCTTCGATAATTTGCATTTCAATATCTCGATATTTAATCCATTCACATGTATCTTCTTGAGACCATACATCTTCATTTCTGAAGTACCAAAATACTATGGTAGTATCACTTGTTTCCATTTATATCATTATATTTTGATTCTCTCTCAGTATGTTTTTATTCAAGATAATATTAAATTCATCTAAAACACGTGTTTCTCTTTTTTTTTTATCTTAGGAAGTAACAATATAGTATAACGTCATTCATGATTCTTTGCGTTCTTATCAATTCAATTCTCTACTATCAGATATAGTGTGTGGAAAAAAAATAGTCTGTCGTTAAAGTGCAGTTATCGTTAGTCATACATTAATATGAATACATGTAGTTTCACATTTTTTAGTCTTAGAACCAATCTACCATGTCGTGTAACGGGCATTGAAAGAACATGGGATTATTTGAAAGCTGAATTTGATCGAGAAGGTGATGGATTATCAGAATTAACAGCAAAATATTTTGAAACGATGGGACCTGGACCATTACTATTTGCTGTTGTCGATCAATCTGTCTATTATCATGATCAGCAACAATGGCATAAATATAAAAGTGCTTTTGATATTGTTTTTGATACAATCAATATATCTGAATGATAAATAGACAATTCTCGTTTTTTCAACATTTTTATTAATATAAAATACAATATTTATTCGTCGAATTGAATAAATATTATTAAAACCGTTTAGATTTTTGTAATTAATATATATTAATTTGATACATATGCGATAATTAATTATCGTAGTTAGAGCAAGTTCAGAGTTTCCAAACCTCCTGTTTTCCAAACTTTTATCCTGGTTTCTCTTGAAATCACATGCTATACCGAAAACATTCTGGTGAAACAGATAAAAAACAGCGAAAAAATCTCGAATTCTTTCGAAAAACAGTTTTTATAGAAAAATGAACCCATTAACTATGAGATACGCTCTCGCATAGAAGTCTTTTTTCTCTTCGTTTCTTTGCTATTATATTTTGTATAAAATTTATTGCCGAGTAGAGATACGACGTAAGAGTTTTATTATATCGTGATTTGTATACCATAGGAAAATAAAACTCTCAAGTCATATCTCTACTTGGCAATAAATTTTATGCAAAGTATGATAGCAAAGAAACGAAGAGAGGAGAGATTTCTGTGCGAGAGTGTAGTTTCGAAGAGCATGTATGAGATATCCAACAAAAGCCATCTTTTTAAAGTGAACCTCACAACAAATAATTATATAACCTGTGTTCTGTCCTCTTTTTTACCAACTTTATCAGAAATTTATGCGGTATGTTAGTTTTTTATAATCAGAAATAAGATGAAGAAAGAAGACTTTTGAAAAGTTTCAACCTGTAAAATTCTCATCTCTACGGATCGATCGATCTTTTTAGAACTGATCCGGTGCCAGTGCGAATGTAGACCGATAAATAGTGAGTTTAAAGAACTAATTATAAGTCAAGTTTTAGTCACATAAAATTTTGATGATATGATAATAGGAATACAATGAAAAATGATTCTGATGGATGTCGAGTTCAAAATTAAAATAAAAAACTCTCTGAAATAGTAAAGAATTGTTAAAATCAATCCACTCAGAAGAAAAATACAATCGTGAAACAACAATTTGAAAAAAGACGTAGGAAACGGTTTACTCTGTTCTGTTTGTATTTTTCAATAAACAGTTTTGAAGAGACAAGTAAAATGACCTATATGTAATTATCTCCTTGTTTTACTTTGTTTTCTTCACTCAGACAGACTTTTTGATTGCTCGTTTATTAAAAACAAAAATTATAAATATTTGAGAGTGAAAAACTTTGCTTTTTCAGAAATAGAGTACGTCACACTATCGTATTTTCCTTCTGATTTTGAGAAGAAGTTTCCTGATCAACTCCTACTTTTCAACGAAAAATCTCTGAATTCTAAAATTTGGATTTGGCAATCCTGAGCATATATTCAAAATTACATTCGCAATTTACCTAAGAATTCTACATTTCCATATGTCACCTATATCCATGTTGGCTTTTATTATCAGAATTTCGGTACATTCTTCGCACCGAATGTTGCAAATCTTGAATTTCACTATCCAATTTTATGACATGCACATATTTATCTGATGTTTACTAATTCTTTCTACATTATCATTTTGATAATAAAATACAATACAATAGTAACGTATCTGTCATAGTAACAGTAATTATTTTTTATCGACTGAACAAGATACTCAATCTGATAAAACATAAAATTATACTTACACAATTATGCTTGAGAATATAGTAATGATAAGAAAGACACCATAAGGGAAGGAATTAGAATTTACCGATATGTATAAATATATATATTAGAAAATACTTCTTTCACAGTATGTTGTACCTACTTGTAAACATCTTTTTCTTATTAATCATCGTATTTTCTGACTTAGAGATATCAATAGTTTATTGTAAATAATATATTTATTCCTTCATCAAATTTCTGTTATAAACTGATAGATCGTAATCAATAATTATTTACTTTTCTTTTAAATTGAATACTAATATTTCATCTCTTTTTTATTTTATTTTAAGAGCAAACGATACATTTCTGTACCTAACATAATTGTTGACGTACCTGCAACGTCAGATCTCACCCACTTTACATTTGAGTCATTATGAATCATCACCTTAATTGTCATGTTCATTGGTCATGATACATTTTTTTTCTTCTCTCTCATGTTTGTTTTGTTTTCATTTATTCTCTCCGTACATTTCTTCTTTTCTCTCATAATATCTTCCATTCTCCACATCTAATTCTCACCTTCGCACGTTTTGCTTCACCACTCTCACATTTTTTCGTTTTCTCTATAGATTGCGAGAATATATATATATTTGAGGTTTGTCTTATTTTATTGTCATCTGGCTGATATATAAAAAATCATTACATTGATTCATCTCTTCTTTATTCAGCCATTATTTTTATTCATATGACACGTTGTCATTTTTCGTCACTGAAGGATACCGATAAGTTATCTATATTATATTACAACTATAATAAAACAGACATATTTCACAAAATATATATATATATCAAAAGTGATATGGGTTATACACGCGATATATATTTAACATCTTTGATATTTGGTTCTATATTTACTATTCTCTTCGGTGTGTCATTAAGCAGTTTATTTTACGGTCTTACAAAATATGGTCAATGTCCATATGAACCACTTCTTCCGCAAAGTCTTCTTGTTTTTGGATTTATAAGCTTGATATGTAGTATTATTGCATTGATTCTTGTAAGTATACTCATAGTTTATTTCATAAATTTTTTTACAATAGTAAATAGAGAATACTAAATAAACAAGTTAAATTAATTTGATATTTTTCTAATTCTTTTAGATACTGGTATCATATTACAAAGTCGATGATTCAGGTACTCATTTATATTATTTCGTATATGCTATTGGAATAGTCATTGTTTATGCTATGAGTGCTATTATATTGACATGTGTGGTAAATGAACATTTATATAATAAAGTTTTTTTTTCTATAAATATTTTATGAATTACTATTTAGATTATTTTCACGCTTCATTCAAAGTTTTTAGAATATCAGTCAAATAATCCAATGGATTCGAAATCGTACTGTGAGTCATCAATTTATAATTACTGTTATAGTTTTGCAACAACTGTGATTATCTTAACAATGATATTTTCATTATTATTAACTCAAATTTTTAGCAAAAAACTTTATAATTTTTTTAAAAAGCTAACGACTTAAAAGTCTATAATGAAAAATGAATATATTATTTTGTCTTTGTTATTTAAATAAAAATATTTTTTTATACAAACGAACTCTAACAGATATATACCACAAATAATTACGCTTCTAGTATTTTAAAGATAACGCTTGAAATTTTGTGCAATACTATATATTCTCTTTCTCGTAGAGAAGAGTCCAGTAAACATAAATTGTCTGATTGTATGTCTGCACTTTAATGATTAGTCGGAAAATAAGATAAAAATAAAGGGAACATTTTCCATAAAGTTTGACCAAAAATAATCAGGGATCGAAGAACTCGACTTTGGTATTAGTTTTTGAAAACTTTTTTAAGGGTTAAGTAAAGGATAATCAGAGTCGAAGAAATCAAAATCTGACTTCTATTGTGTTTAAGTATATAAATCAATGGCTTAGTAATTGTTGAGTAACGCGATTTTCACGATAAAGAGCGTTACTTGTATATATTTGTAAATAGATAAAAAACAATGAGTTGGATATATAACAAACGGCGTTACTTTGCTTGTAATCTTTTCATTAATACACTAAAAGATACAACGTAAGAAGCACTAGATTTATACTATTTTCGAAACGTTATAATTTTGCCCACTTTGAAAAGAAAAACTAATGATCAAATCAGAATTGTAGAGTTTTTTACAAATGTATTTAACATAGTTTTGTAGAGAACTTCAAGCGTTATAGTTTTGATAGAAAAAAAGTATTTCAATACTAGGAATACAGTTCTTTGTGACTCACTCTTTATTTCTATTGTATATTGGCGACATCTATCAATGAAATAATCAAATTGAATCAAAACTAAGAAATGAATCATTACTTGTTTCTTCCGATACATGACATATTATTTCTCACCAAAGGCAGTATGTTTTGGTACATGATGAAATCTCCAAACGTTTTATATATTACTAATTATTCATGAGACATTGTTGCATTACCTTATAAGAATATGTTTCATATTTTTCTATGAAACATAAACTTAACAAAACTTATTTATTAAAAATCAACTATATAGTTAAATTTTATATATTTTTTGAATAGAATTCGAATATTTTTAATTAAACAGAATATTTTATAGTTGACAAAAAAATATATTTGACTTATTTTAGATTATCAAGCTCAATGAAATAGTCACATGACTCTATTCAATTGATTACTTATACATATTGACACAAAGTAACAGGTAAATTATTATTGATGATCAAAAAAAAATGAAACGATTATTTGTTATTTTTTTTCGAACTTTCTTTATTTTCTAATGTATGCATTGATTTCTATCTTTTTTATTCGCTTTTTTTTCTCTTTCTTTCTTATCTACCTACTCCAATGATGTTTGTATTTTTCTTTTCCACCTTGATGAAAAAGGTGAAAAATCTAGGCGACGTGCATTCTTCATCTCATTTTTTTTCTTGTTTGTCAACATGGAGGTACGAGACAGACGGAGGTCAAAATGGTTTAAATTTAAAAAGATAATCATTTGATTTTAAATATATATTTACATAAAATTAATAATTTAATAAAACAAATTCTTTTTTTGTTTTCTAGCCGATCAAAAATTAATCTTCATATTATGTCAGACTTTCCTACTACTACGAATTCAACTCCTTCAATACTTTCAATTGCTGCTGAAGCTTCATCATCAATTCCTTCTAATGATAGTTTTTCTACCAAAGCTCGTAAAAATGTACTTATGTATAAACACAAATCTCGTGATCATTCGTCAAGTTCATCAACTTCAAGTGATAGTTCATCATCATCAAATTCCGTAACATCACTATCTATTCATCATAATGATGATGACGATGCAAGTAGTATTGATGATACAAATGATCAATTAACACAAATACAAGAACGAATTCACACATTAAGACGATTACGTATGTTCATTAAATACTTTTAGATAAATTTCTTTAAAAGTTTTGATTATGATATATTTAGTTT